TTCCTTCCTTCCTTCCTTCCTTCCTTCCTTCCTTCCTTCCTTCCTTCTTCTTTCCCTCCCTTATCAGTGTCCTTCCTTCCTTCCTACCAACCTACCAACCTACCTACAAAAGCAATACATACAAAATGTTGGAAATACTTTGCACACCTCCAATAGGTACCATTGCTAAGTAAAGAAAATACAGCTCGGACAATTTTTTTTGTGATGACTTCATAAGGCATTTGCCTGCCCCACAATACGGAAAGGACCTTGGACACAAGACAAAATTCTCCAGCATGCCAAGCAAATTTTTCCACAAACTACCATGCAAGCGTCTAAGCAGTCACACGCATTCGGGGATTTCACAAAACAGCCCAATGCAACAATGGTTAGCTTGGAAAGGAAGCAAAGCAAATACTCCATTCTTTGCAGAGAATGACGGAGAAGATGAAATTCAAACGATGATCCTGGAATGATCTCAGAATCTTCATTCAGTTGAATCTACCTGTGATCAAATGGTCCCTAAGAGACCAAGTATGAAAGACAACGGAAGGAAAGCAAGCGAGGCTGAATTCTCTACAGGTAGTCCTTGACTTACGCCCAACCTTTTTGTTGCTGAGTGAGACAGTTATTCAGTGAGTTTTGCCTCGTTTTAAGACCTTCCTTGCCACCGTTCTTAAATGAGCCACTGCAGTTGGGACTGTAACATGGTTGTTAAGTGAATCTGGCTTCCCCTTGTCAGAATGTCACATAATGGGATTTCATGTCCCTGGCAAATTGCAACCATCATTGCCAAGAGTCTGATTTTTTTTTTAATCACCTGACTGTGAGAACACTGCAATGGTCGTTAAGTGTGAAAAATGGTCATAGGTCTCTTTTTTCAGTGCATTGTAACTTCAGTCACTAAATGAACTGTTGTAAGTCAAGGATTACCTGTATCAGCAACAGAAAAGTATAAACATTCAACACAAACGTATTATTGTGTTCTATCTTGGATTAGATAGATAGAGAGAGAGAGAGAGAAAAACAGAGAGAGAGAGATTCTTAAACTCATTGTTTAAGCTAATTATTTGAAAGGTCAATCCAATTCTTTTTTTTTTTCTTCCCACTTAGAACTGCCTTAAATGGAAATGATTTTTAGGAGCATAATAGAAGATTGGCTCATGAAACAACTGGTTATGCCAAGAATGGCCTTTTCCAGAAATGTATTTTGTTCTTGCTATATGAATTGACATCTAAAAACACACCTACCCTTTGGCTTTACGGACTTGTGCAGGATATTTTGAAGTCAGACTATCCTGACTTCTGAAATGCTCTACCCCACTCCTTGTAAATATTCTGAATTTGAAAGAGTCGCCAGACCGGCGTCTATGGAGATTCTCAGTCATCCAAGTCATAGTTGTTCCAAATGTGGGTTTTTTTTCTCCCAAAAGGCAACTAGAGTTTCTTTAAAAAAAAATATTTGAAGAGGTTTTGCTTCTCATCCAAGAAGCTTCATCAGTTCTGAAGTACAGTTGTCTTTTGGAAAAGCACCTCCACATCAAGATCAGAATGGCCCGTTTTGGAGAAGATGAACCTTGTGAGTTGACTTCAGCAGTATATTAATGTTGGTCGGCGTGATAACATCTAATTGAACTTCCCCAAGTTTTGAAACTAAGCAAGGTCACGCTTAGGACCTAGAATCAAGACTATAAAGAATACCAAGACTATAGTTTACCAGATTAACAGAGTTGGAAGGGACCTTTTAGATCATCTAGTCCAACACACACACCCTGCCCAAGCAGGAGACCCTACACCATTTCTGACAGATGGCAGTCCAGTCTCTTCTTGAAAGCCTCCAGTGATGAAGCTCCCACAACTTCTGAAGGCAACTTCTGTTCCATGGGTGGATTGTTCCCACTGTTAGGAAATTCCTCCTTAGTTCTAGGTTGAATCTCTCCTTGATGATTTTCCATCCATTATTCCTATTCTGGCCCTCAGGTACCTTAGAAAATAGTTTGGCCTCCTCCTCCTCTCTGGGGCAGCCCTTCAAATATTGGAAGACTGCTGTATTTGTCTCTCCTGGTCCTTCTCTTCACTGGACTACGCATACCCAATTCCTGTAACTGTTCTTCATATGTTTTAGCCTCCAATCCCCTAATCATCTTTTCTCTGCACTCTTAGACTGGGAAACTCTCAACATATCTCATAGAAAGCAAGCAATCTGTATTCTTCAATCATCAGGAATCAACTCTGATTCAAAGGAGATCTATTAGTGTTGATACCTGCAATTTCATTAATTTATTTCCAACCTGTCTAAGTTGACCAAGACTAACAATAATGCAAGCTGTTAATAAACCCCAAAGGGTTGTCCCTCCCCCCCCCCACCCCACCAAAAGGCAACCTGACTTTCTTGGTGTTTTTCTTTGAAAACATGTCACTTCTCATCCAAAACTGCTTCTTGGATGAGAAGTAAAATGTATTCAAAGAAAAAAAAAAGCAAGAAATTCCAATGGACTTTTGGGGAAAAAAGCACCTTTGGGACAACTATGACCTGGATAATCGAGCGTCTCCATAAATGCCTTTCTGGTGACTCTTTCAAATTCCGACTCTTTCCAAGGAAGTGAGGAGAACATTTCAGAAGTCAGGATATTCCGACGTCAAAATATTCTGCACGTATTTCTTGGCGCATATTCTGCGTAAAGAGTCTCCAAAGACATAAGCTCTTAGTAAACTGAGCGGGAGGGTTGAACGACAAGAGGGAGGGAATGAAGGTTGTAGGCCAGGAGAAGACATGGTCAAGGGCCATGCATGACTGACTGATGGCTGGGCATTAGCAGCTCTTAAAACATGGCACAGGTAAGGCATGCGTGTTCTACTATACCTAAGATGGGCGCACTGGCACTTCGACTGCGGTCTTCAGGCATCCAAACAATGCAAAAACCAGATGCACAAGAATATACCAAGGGCAACAAGATAAGACATATAAAAACTTAACATCTTCAAGTCAGACAGGAATACCCCAAAAACCCAAAGCATGCTCGACACAGAGACCTAGTGGATTATATTAGAACATTCCAACATTCACCAAGCAAGACAATTGTGATTACACCTTAAGACATCTACATGGTTTAGAGTGAGTAAGGTCTCCTAAATGAGATACTCCTCCACATACAGGACTACCTGTACCTATAATGGCGCCTGTCCAATTTTATGGCTTTTTTGAATCATCGTTAAGAAGCTGATGAGGTCATGAAGCCAATGCCACGGCTGTTAAGAGCACACAGCTGTCGTTAAACAAACCCAATGGTTTGCTCCGGATGTGGTTTTGCCAAAACCTCGAAATAAGAACCAGTTTTGTGGGGGCAACCCATCGTAAACAGCAGTTGTGTGATCAAAGGATGCCGCAAACAGATGTAAACATGATTGGGTTGCTGAGCAGTGGAAGTTCAACCCTGTAGCTACAGAGGAGTTGGCCGGACTCTGCTTGTGACTACGTAGGGATTCTAGGCCGATTCCTCTTTTAACGCCACCACCAGGTTCTGCCACTCCTTCCCCTACAGCTGCACTTCCTAGTATACTTAGCCTAAAAATGTCACATGATTCTAGAGTCCGTGTGTGTGTGTGTGTACACATTACTGTCCAAACTATGTCTTTTTTTTTTCTCTAGTGGAAAGATGGCAAGATGGCATGATCCACAGCTATTGGCATAAGAGCAAAGGCATGTAGATTATCACTACACAACAGAGGTGCATTTAAGTAAAACCACATTTGAAATTAATCACCAAACACAGTGTGCACAACAGGCAGTCTTCGACTCACAGTTCATTGAGCGATCATTCAAAGTTATAACGGCACTGAAAAAAAGTGACTTCCAGCCATTTTTCAGAGTTACGACCTTTGCTGTACCCCCCCCCCCCAATGATCCAAATTCAGACACTTGGCAACTGGTTCATACTTATGACCGTTGCAGCTTCCCACTTTTCACGACCCCCCTTTTTGGTGACGTTCTGAGAAGCCAAATCAACGGGGAAGCCAGATTCACTTACCAACCGGGTTACAAACTTATCAACTGCAGTTGCTTCCCTTAACAACGGCGGGGAGAAATGCCGTAACATGGGCAACATTCACTTCACAAACATCTCACTTAAGAACCTAAATTGGGGGGCTCGATTGTGGTCATAAGTCGAGGACTACCTGTGCCTGATATTATTTTGGGCATACTTTCGCAGAAACTCAAGGGTAAGTTTGAATTTTGTAGATACTAAACAAAACAACTGGTTTTCTTTCCTTCAGCTGCCCAATGCCTCTTTTCTGCATTTTGCAAACGGAAAAATGTTAGGTCAGTGTGCACACAGCTTTACTAAGTGAGACAACCCAGGAGAAATAGCAGCAAACAGAGGTTTGTAATAAATAGTGGTTTTATCTACAAAAGAACATATGTTATACATACACTTACTATAGGCAGAGGTGTCATGCCCCTGTCAGAATCTGATTTGGAGGGGGAGGCCGAATAGCTGACAGGGAGTGTAGCTCCATTGGCTGGGGAAGAAACTGAGGAAGGGCAAAGTCTGGCTGGGCAGAGTAGGGAATAGGTAAAAACAAGGGAGAGGGAGTTCAGAGGAAGACCCAGGCGCATCCCCTCTTCATCCTAGGGCATGCAGGGAGAAATGGAGAAGGTAGCAATGTGAATTGCGTGGCTTACAGGGGAGAAAGGGCCCTGATTCCCTTCATTAGCTGCAGCTGGGAACACAGTGTTTAAAAAGGGAAGCTGCGTGCAACAAGCTATTGGAAGCAAATTTATCTGGTATCCTCGAGGCTTATTTGTGTTGCTGGCATCTTCCCAACTGTGTGAGTTTTTCTGTGCTTTCAAGTCTGCAATTCCTTCTCCTTCCCTGTCAAGTTAATTACTGCAGCGTGGTTTGTTTGGATTTTTTGTTACAGTTTGCATGTACCTTGTTTTGGACTAAATTTTCTACAGTTAAAGCCTACTCCTGGGAGAGATTTTCTCCAGCCAAAGGTAACCTGGACATTGAGGGCAAAGTTGGAAATAATAAAGGGACTCTTCTTGCTTATTTGACTGTGTTGCCTTTGTGCCATGCCCCGGGTCATCACAAGAGGTCAAACAAGCAGCAAATTACAGCAGGGAAGAACACACAAGCAAGAGAGAGAGAGCGCTGTCCTAACAGGGCCTCTCCTTATTATACAGGCTCTTAAAGGGATAACAGCCAAAACCTTGCTGACTCATTCCCATTATTACATCATTGCAGCAGCTGATCAGCTCTTAAATCACAACCCTGATGTACTATAATAAGAGTGGAGTATTTCATCTCCTTCTGCCTATGAAGTTTAAAAAGTTGAATGCTACGTCTGGACCTACCCAAGTTAGGTGCACTTGCTGTCCGTTTGTTACTTTTGATCTTGAAGAAACCTCGGCCGAAGGACGACCTGGCTTTGCGTGATCCGAAAGCCTCTTCTTCACCCGGAGACTTGCAAGGAAGGGTTACATATTTGCTATTCTCCACCGGTGATTTATTCTGATTGGTTGGAGGGAAAAAAGAAAGAAAAAGAAAAAGTCAACTTTGCAATCACGGTCCATGACATCACGGGACACAAGAGTCTTGAAGTGGGAAAGATCAAAAGTCAAATGAAGATAGCCTCCTCAAAATGCACCTGAACGCTATTGCGGGTAGACCTCAGCTTACAACAGTTCATTTAGTGACCGTTCAAAGTTACAACAGTACTGGAAAAAGGGACTTACGACCATTCTCTACACTTACGACCTCTGCACCATCCCCATGATAATGTGATCAACATTCAGATACTTAGCAACTGATTCACATTTATGACGATTGCCATGTCCTGGGGGGTCATGTGATTCCCCCTTTGCCACCTTCTGACAAGCAATGGGGAAGCCAGGTTCACTTAACAACCGGGTTACTAACTTATCAACTGTAGTGATTGGCTTAACAACGGTGGCAAGGAAGATTGCAAGATGGCGCAAAACTCGCTTAACAACAGAAATTTTGGGTTCAGTTGTGGTCATAAGTCTATGACTACCTGTATTACACAAGAGGTATGAAGTTCTCAAGAACTTTAAAGACATATATTTAAAAAAAATATTGATAAGTGTCCTTGTACATTTGGTTTTAACTTGCCTGCCAAAATGGTGAGTTAGATTTACCCAGAACTTGATACTATAGTTAGTGGTTTCATTGGGTTGTTGTTGTTGTAGTTGTTATTAAACATGAAACTTAGTCAAACTGAACATTTAAAAATGTATCACAAATATAATCGACTAGCGCTGATGGTTGATATGGGTTGCTGACAGCATCCTAGGTATCAACCAAGTATTATTATTGTTGTTGTTATTGTTATTATTAGTTGATCTTTAGTGATATTCACAGCCTTTGGGGCTGGTTGGTAGCTCAACAGCTCGAGTCCTAACCAAGGACCTAGGAAATGTTCAGGTAGCGTTGGAGGATATAAGCTGTTCCAAGTAGGGTGTGTTTTTTTTGTAGAATCAGAGTATTCAAGTCTGATAAATTCAGGATTTCCAAATAGCGAGGTAGCCCTTTAGGTATTGCTCCAAGGGCTCCAATTACAATTGGGATAACACACAAGTTCTTATTCTTATTTTATTATTGTTGTTGTTGTTATAAACTTTTATTCATTAAACATGAAACTTAGTCAACTGAACATTTAAAAATGTATCACAAATATAATCGACTGGCACTGATGGTTGATACAGGTTGCTGCCAGCATCCTAGGTATCAACCAAATATCTTCTTAAAATGTATGTTGTTCCAAGTAGCAAAGTTTTTTGCAGTTCCACTGGTGATATTGAAAGAAGCTGCAATTTCTTGATTATTTTATAAAATTCTTGGACATGGTACCAAGTGCCCCAATGACAATGGGTATCATTGTTACATGGTTCATCCATAATTGTATAGTTTCAATGACCAGGTCATGGATAAAACATGTAAGAGTGATAGATTATTATTGTTATTCTTATTATTGCAATTGTATTTTCCATCCCAAATACAATTCTCGTTCAGTTTTTACATTTCTCTGAATTTTGTAATGCATGCACATTTGCAAAATTTGTGAACTGGTCTGTAATCACAAAAGAGGACATTGTTCAAACATAGAGGAATATGATAGAAAAACAACCAGCTCTGTCTATTTATCCCATTACCTCTGCTAGCTTGTCTCTGGACTCTTTATCCTGTGGAGAAGAATTTGGCATATTAAATATGTCACATAAATTGCTATTTCATTGAATCACTCTTCATTTAATTGTAAACTAAAATGTGTTCAATTCAAGTCATCCATGACACACAACTTAATAAAACATCCTGATTGTATCTTATAAAACAATCTGTTTTATTATGTTTAGACATTTGTTTAAAAATAGACAAATGAAAACCTTTTTCTAATAAAATTATAAATACTATTTTTTTTTTTTCAAAATAAACCTAGCTAGAATGATGTATGATTGGAAATATTTAATGAAGCTTCCAGCACATAAATTATTTTTAAGTAATTAATATTCACAGGCATTTTCAAAACCATGAAATACAGATAAAGGACTGAAAAGAACAGCATGAGTTAATAATAGCAGATCAATGATCAATAAGAATATTTAAAAAGAAAAAAAAGTAGGATTACCTACCTCTGAGGCATCTTTCTTCAAGTTTCCAAGACTGCTAGATTTCTTTAGAGCTGAACTTTTGGAACAAATTATAAGAAAAATAAGCAAACAAAAATTTAAATTTGGGTCTCATACATTCAATCAGCAAGGTAAAAATTCGAACAAAGTTGAGGAAGTTCTCCAATTGATATCTCACCAAAGGAGAAAACTAGGAATCTCAAGAAAACGCAATAGTTTCCCACATCTTATTCCTTGAAAATCTAGCCCATGTCTATAGTCTCTCATGATTTTTTTTCCAGTTGGGAAAAACAACATTGGTTAGAATAATTCAAGGATAGTTCTGATATGCATGGGGTCAAGAACCTATAGGGATGAATAAATTTTCAGACTGGTCGGGTTGTTGTTTCAAGCTTGGAATTACTTCCAGAATAACTGGGATACCATTAGAACACTTTTGGTAAGTTTAGAACCATCGTTTCAAGTCGTGTTTGAATTCCAAACACATGGGATGGAGTCTCTTAAATTCCAAATATTTTTGCACACAACTGCAAATAAATAAATAAAAACTTTGTCCCTAATGTGAGTTATGGGCACATCTACAAACAAGGCCTGGTATGGATAGGAGAGAATATTTGAAGCTTAGGTTTGAACAGTGGGGTCCTTGGTGCTCTGAGCTTGGTGGTCTTCTTGCAGATGTTTCATGACCCAACTAGAGAACATCATCAGTTGCAGGATCCCATCTGGGTCAGTCACAGGGACCAGAAGTTTTGTCTTCTGAATTTTTGGATTCATGTTGGAGCCCATCTTCAGGGAACTTCTTTCTAGCAGATTGAATCCTGCAACATTATCCTGGGGCACATCTATTTGTCTTCGTTCATGAACATCATCAGGTCCTGGTGAACTACCACAAAACCACCAAACTCAGAGAGCTCCAAGGACACCAAAGAGAAAATTGGTAGGTTGGTCAATAAATTTTTCTAAGATAATGATTGTGCTTACATGAAACATAAGTCAGGATTCACAATCCTGTATAACTGGTAATGAGTTGCTACTATACAGAAATATTTCACTTGGCACGTTTTCATTATATTAATTTAGCTCAGACAAGAAACCCAATGAGTCTGATTAAATAGGGAAAGGAATCACTTGATAAATTCCAATTTAATCGTTCCTGAAGATTCAATTTCCCTCTAAAATTAATTGATATTATGGGACTAAAAATTTTAAAAGGTCATAAATGTGTTCAAGAGTATGAAGATTCATATAACTGAATCCATTATCCTCAAAGTCCCAGTATATAAAACTTTGCAAATGCACATCAGCTCTGAAAATTCATTCTCCTGCAATTTTTCAAACTAAGTTTCCAAAACCAGATGCACAAAAGATCAAACCACATGTTTTTGTGTGTGTGTGATTTTTAAATGACAATATGCAATGAATAAACCTCTTCAATGCTCAAGTCATGCACAAAATGAACATGCTGTCTCTTTTTTCATTTAGTTTTAGTTTTCAGATTTAATTTCCAAACTGATTTGTCACACAAAGGACCAGTTGCTTGAAAAGCCATGTTTCCATAATAGCAAAGAGAAATTATTCTTCTAGTATGTGATATCTGTGCAAAAGAGACTTTAAAATAATGAAACCCTTGGCTGAGGTAAATTTTTTATTTTTTTTCCCCTAAATGAGAACAGGCTTGGTGTAGTAGTTAAGATATCAGGCTAAAAAACCAGAAGATTAAATTCTGGTCTTGCATTAGGCACAAAACCCTCTGGGTGACTTTATTTAATCCTTCTCAACTCTAGGAAGGTAGAAAGGACAAACTATTTCTGGAAAAGCATTGCCAAGGAAAATTGCACGGACTTGTTTGGAATCAAGTTTGTCTCAAGGACAACAAAAATAAAATCAACTTTCTCTCAAGCGGTCCAAAATTGAAGGAGCTTTCTTTCTGTAAAAGAAATATCAGAAGATCCCTTGGAAAAGCTGGAAGACTTCTTATAAGTTCAGAGTATCCTGTTCTGATTTTGCGTGTCTCCCTCCCACTATGATATATTTAACGATAATTTGATAAACTTTCTCCAAAACAATTCCATAGGACTTCAATTTCTATCTCTCCTTCCGAACTACGAATACATGAAGGTAAATATGATATAGTTGGAATAACAGAAACTTGGTGGGATGAAACCCATGACTGGAATATACTGGTAGAAGGATACAAACTATTAAAAAAAACAGACCCCATAAAAGAGGTGGTGGAGTTGCACTGTATGTAAAAGACCACTATATTGCTACAGAAATGCATGAAACCAAAGATGAAAACCTCCTAGAATGCATATGGGTCAATATAAAAGAAAAAAGAATGACATGGCCATAGGCGTATATTATAGGCCACCAAATCAAGCAGAAAAAATAGATGTCCTTTTTGCCAGCCAACTAACAAACATATGCAGGAAACACACAACAATAGTAATGGGAGACTTCAATTATCCTGATATCAATTGGAAAACTAATTCTGCACCAAGTGAGAAATCAAATAAGTTCCTAACCAACCTAGCTGACAACTTTGTTGTCCAAAAGGTAGAGGGTGAAATTAGAGGGACAGCCATACTGGACTTAATTGTTACAAACAGAGAAGAAGTGATAGAGGAAGCTGAAACTGCAGGAACCTTGGGTGAGAGTGACCATGTCATACTAGAATTCAACATAACACAAACACAAGCAACAGAACATAATGACACCAGAGTCTTGGATTTTAAAAGAGAAGATTTCAATAAACTCAGAAAGAACTTAGGAAAGATTCCATGGATGAAAATCCTAAAGGGGAAAACAACTCAAGAATCTTGGGAAACTGTAAAAAGTATGATCTTAGAAGCCCAGACCAGCACAATACCATTGACAAAGAAAAACAGTGAGGGAATAGAAGGGGAACTTACCAAATTTGTAGATGATACTAAGCTGGCAGGAATAGCTAACACCCAAGAAGATAGGCTCAAGATCCAGATGGATCTTGACAGACTAGAACACTGGGCCATATCTAACAAAATGAAATTCAATGTAGAGAAAAGTAAAGTCCTACACTTAGGCAAGAAAAACCAAAAGTACACATATAGACTGGGTGAAACCAGGCTCAATAGAAGTAATTGTGAGAGGGATCTTGGAGTCTTAGTGGACAACCAGCTAAATATGAGCCAGCAGTGTGCAGCAGCCTCCAAAAAAGCTAATGCAATCCAAAATTGCATTAACAGAGGGATACAGTCAAGATCAAGGGAAGTACTAATACCACTCTATAAAGCCTTAGTAAGACCACACCTAGAGTAATGCATCCAGTTTTGGTCACCACATTATAAAAAAGATGTTGAGACTCTAGAAAAAGTACAGAGAAGAGCAACCAGGATCATTAGGGGACTGGAGGCTAAAACATACGAAGAACGGTTACAGGAACTGGGCTTAGCTAGTCTAGTAAAGAGAAGGACCAGGGGAGACATGATAGCGGTCTTCCAATATTTGAGGGGCTGCCACAGGGAAAAAGGGGTCAAGCTATTTTCTAAAGCTCCTGTAAGCCAGACAAGGAACAATGGATGGAAACTGAACAAGAAGAGATTTAACCTGGAAATAAGGAGAAACTTTCTGACAGTGAGAACAATCAACCAATGGAACAGCTTGCCCTCGGAAGTTGTGGGAACGCCATCAGTTGAGACTTTCAAGAAGAGATTGGACTGCCATTTGTCAGAAATGGTGTAGGGTCTCCCATTTGGGCAGGGGGTTGGACTAGATGACCTACAAGGTCCCTTCCAACTCTGATTATCTGTATCTGTATTTCCAAAACCCTTTGTCATGCCCCTGTTGGAGTCTGATTCCGAGGGGGAGGTCGAACAGCTGACAGGGAGTGTGGCTCCAGTGGCTGGGGAGGAAACTGGGGAAGGGCACAGTCTGGCTGGGCATTCAGAGGAAGACCCAGGCCCACCTCCTCTGCATCCTAAGGCATGAACGGATAAGGGAGCAACATGGATTATGGGGGAGAAAAAGGGCTTGATTCCCTTCATTAGCTGCAGCTGGGAAAACAGGATAAAGAGGGTGTTTGCGCACAGTACCTTGCTAGAAGCAAAGCATGCATTATCTTTGTTTGTCAAGTCTTATCTGGGTTTTGGCATCCTCCCAACTGTGTGTGTTTCGTTATCTTTTGAAGTCTGCAATTCCTTACCATGCCCTGTCTCGTTAATTTATTTTTTATTTTTATTTGTCAATTGCTTACAAGATAATAAAAACATAGTTATGGATACATGGACCTCTTAGGAAAGGGGTGAGGTCAATAGTAGACAGTCTAAGGTTAAAGTTTTTGGGGTTTGGGGAAAAAAATGCTGCAGCGTGGTTTGTGTTGGTTTTTATTAATAATCTATATGGACTTTGGGTTCAGTCTGAATTTCTTCCCTTTAAAAACTGTTCTTGGGAGAGTTTTTTTCTCCATCCAATGATAACTGGACATTGGGAGCCAAGTTGGAGGAATTAAAGGGACTTTACCTACTTTTGTGACTTTGTCGCTTTTGTGCCACGCCCTGGGTCATCACACCCTTTCACTAAAAACCCCTGAAATACAGATAGTCCTCGACTTACGACCACAATGTAGTCCAAAATTTCTGTTGCTAAGTGAGACATTTGTTAAGTTCCCAATTTTATGGCCATAGCTGTTAAGTGAATCACCACAATTCTTAAATTAGTAACACAGTTGTTGAGTGAATCTGACCTTGTCACAAAAAGAGATCGCGAGACCCTGGAACTTTGCAATCATTGTAAATATGAGTCAGCTGCCAATCATCTGAATTTTGATCACATGTAAGTGTGAGAAATGGTCATCCATCACATTTTTTCCAGTGCCATTGTAACTTTGAATGATCACTAAATGAATTGTTGTAAGTCGAGAACTACCTGTACTATTAGTAATCACTTAGTAACCAAGAAGATTTAAACATTTGGTATGGTCTCCCCTTCACAGCCCGCCATTCCTCTTTGATTAAACCTGTAGGGAGAATATTCTCTCAGGTATTCGCTATGAAATAATTATTGGGTTAGAAACGGTTACAAAAATATGCACCTCAGTCCAGCAAAAACTATTTCATAACTTGGATTAATCGAAGCGCCAGTGCTAATGATTAATTTAGGAGCGCCGGAAATCAATCTCTCTTTTTTTGCCTTGCAAGGAAAAACTAGCCAGAAATTATTTGGGAATATATATATATATATTACAAAATTCGATATATCCCTGGTGCTATACAGCTTGCTTGGAGATGCTTCACGCTGTAACAGAAAAGGGAAACTGAGCTAGAGTAACTGGAAGAGCAGCAGAGAAATAAAAGCAGGGGAAGAACCAGCTGTAGATGCCGGGAAGGGGCAGAAAAGTCAAAATGGCAGCCACGTTTTTGACTCCACCATCCCTGCAGGCACCAAACCCCTATCAACAACACAAAGGCATTTCTGTAAAAGAGTTTAATGGTTTTGGGGTTCGGGTGTGTCAAGATTTAGATTTTGATAGGATACTTACATTTTTGTATCACTTAGTTGGGTTTCTATGGAAACCACTGCCAGGTGTTTTTCGCTGCAAAAAGAAGATTAAAAGAAAATAAAGAGAGCCTTAACAATACTGCCTCATCTTATAGTATTATCACTTATAAAATTATTTTACTAATAAATAATAAAAATTATAAATAATAGTTACTAATACAAATAAACTAGTTGAATACCCATGCTTGGCTATGAAACTATGTGGTCGGGCTTAGCTTTTGGGGAGGAAAATAAGGGAGGGGGAAATTCTGCCTCTGCCTACCAGCATCCATCGGTATTCATCTAGCTAGCGTCCTGTCAGTGTGTAAGAGAGTTAAGGGCTGTTTGGAAACTGAAACAGTATTTGCTGTGTGAGCAAGAAGGAGACAGCAAGGAGCCTGGGCGTGGCTTAGCTCAACTGTTCTGTCCTAAAGCTGCTTGGTGCTGTGAAATTGAAACTGAAACTCTTCTGCTTGTGTTTTGCATTTGGAGGAGATTTCTTTTCAGGAGGGGAGGGGAAATAGAACTCCTTAGCATCAGAGCGCGTTAATAATAATAGTAATAATAGTAGTAGTAGTAGTAATAATAATAATAATAATAATAATAATAATTATTATTATTATTATTATTATTATTATTATTATTATTATTATTATTGGCGCTGACAAGATCACCATTGATCAGCTGCAGAAGGCCACCTTACTGGGATCTGCTCACATAATCCGCCGATACATCACGCAGTCCTAAACGCTTGGGAAGTATTCGACTAGCGATTTGTGATATGAAACGCAGCATGGTTATCTTGTTTGCTGCGTATACTGTCATTTTTGTGTATAATCATCATCATCATCATCATCATCATCATCTAGGAAATACTAAGTCTCTGATGCCAAATCCTTTTTTAGTGAGCCCCTAGGGGCCAAATTTCAAGTGCGTAGGCTTTACGGTTCTGGAAATTGTTCTAGACGGGAAAGAAATATAGTCTAGGCTCATTCTTCTAAAATTAAGTTTGACGGCAATCCGTGAGTTATATTGGAACGAAATTTCCGTTTTTTTAAGGGAAATTACGAGAAGTTCACAAAATAGCATAGGAATGTTCTCATCTCTGTCTAAATGCTATCGAATTTTTTCTCTCCCCCCCCCCCCCCAAAAAAAATCTGTTTGAATTCTTGATGCTTTTCCTCAAATAAAACCCTGGCAAAATATTGTCCCCCTAAGATCAAAATCATTGGATTTGGTTCAGGTCTCAGCAGGATAATAACAACCACGACTATGCAAAAATTATTTCGCATTCTCTCCTACTGGAATTGGCAAACATTACCAAAGTTGGTATCTATGTATCCCTGCAACCACTCTATACAGCCAGTCCTTGACTTACAACTGTTTGTTTAGTGACTGTTCGGAGTTCCAACAACGTTGAAAAAAGTGACTTGTGAACGTTTTTCACACTTATGACCGTTACAGTATCCCCGTGATCATATGATCCAAATTTGGACACTTGGCAACTGACTCGTAGTTATGATGGGGTCCTGGGGTCCCATGGTCCCTTTTTGTGACCTTCCAACAAGAGAAGTCAATGGGGAAGCCAAATTCACTTAACAACCGTCTCACTAACTTAACAACTGAAGTGATTCACTTAACAATTGAGGCAAGAAAGCTTGTAAAATGGCCCAAAACTCAACACTGTTCTCACTTAGCAACAGAAATTTGGCATTACTCTAGGACTGCCTGTATTATGTTTCCTTGGCCAACCTCTCACTTTGTGAGAAAAGTGTTAAGATTCCGGCAGTTCCCCCCATTTAAATCATGAGTCTCGAGCCAAACTTCCAAAACTTCAAAAGGATTTATTGGGAGTTAACATGTCCAGGACTGCCTGGGTGCAGCCGACTCTGAGAAACATCATTCACTGTCATCCTTGACCCTGCTTTTCCCCCACCCCCTGGGTGTATCATAATTCATATTCTCCAATGGGACACCTCCATAGCCAAGAGTCATCAATCATGCTCTCCAGTTAGAATTTTGTGCAGCAGAAACTTCAGTCACCTATTTACTATCTTTGAAAAACTATTTATGGAATGCACTTTTGATTTCCAAGCTGCCGCACTGCTCCCCACTCCCTTTCTGTTGGCAACTCTAAAAAGACCCTAGAAATATTTTATGAGTTGACCAGAAGTATATGGATCTAAAAAAAATTATTACGTTCAATTTCTTCACGAAAAACCTAGGGAGTATTGCATAAAGTGTTCTTACCTGCTTTCACTTTCAATTTCCATCTTGGATGGGACATTTCCTTTTTCGCTCTGTTCTTCTGAATGTCTGAACGGTTGTGAAAAAGAAGGAATGGAAACTTGCAAGACGCTAGTGTGGAGCTGGGTGAAATTCTACAATTTAAAAAGAAACATTGTATTTTGCACTAAGCGACAACAGATAGCTCGTGATGTAACTGGTACAATCTGGAACTGAACACACTCAAAACCATAGAAATGGTGGTAGACTTTAGAAGAAACCCTCCCATACTACCACCTCTTACAATACTAGACAACACAGTATCAACAGTAGAGACCTTCAAATTTCTAGGTTCTACTATATCACATGACCTAAAATGGACACTTAACATCAAAAACGTCATCAAAAGAGCACAACAAAGAATGTTCTTTCTGCGCCAACTCAGGAAGCTCAAAATGCCCAAAGAGCTGCTGAGCCAGTTCTACAGAGGAATGATTGAGTCTGTCATCTGCACCTCTATACCTGTCTGGTTTGGTTCTGGAACCCAACAAGACAGACACAGACTCCAGAGAGTAATTAGGACTGCAGAAAAAACAATGGCTACCAACATTCCTTCCATTGAGGACCTATATACTGCATGAGTCCAAAAGAGGGCTATGAAAATATCTACAGACCCCTCACATCCTGGACATCCTTCCCTCTAAATGACGCTATAGAGCCCTGCACACCAGAACAACTAGACATGAGGGGAGTTTCTTCCTGAACGCCATCACTCTGCTAAACAAATAATTCCCTCAACACTGTCCAACTATTTACAAAGTCTGCACTACTATTACTGTTAATCTTCTCATCACTCCTTATCACCCATCCCCTCCCACTTGTGACTGTATGACTGTAACTTTGTCGCTTGCATCCTTAAGATCTATATTGACTGTTTCCTAGTATGATTTGATTGCTTATTGTACCCTGTGACTATTATTAAGTGTTGTACCTGATGATTCTGGACTCTTGATGAATGTATCTTTTCTTTTATGTACACTGAGAGCATTTTCACCAAGACAACTTCCTGGTGTGTCCAATCACACTTGGCCAATAAAGAATTCTATTCTATTCTATTCTATTCTATTCTATTCTATTCTATTCTAT